GATCGATGGCTTCAGAAAATTTTGTGCAACCATCCATTCCTCGCTTTGATGGTCACTATGATCATTGGAGCATGCTAATTGAGAACTTCTTGTGATCCAAAGAATACTGGCCGGTGGTTGTTTCTGGAATAGCAGAACTAGCCGAAGGTGTTATGCTGACAGATGCACAGAAGTCAGAGCTTGACGCACTGAAGCTGAAAGATCTCAAGGCAAAGAATTATCTTTTCCAAGCTATTGATCGCTCCATCTTGGAAACAATTCTTTGCAAGGATACCTCCAAGCATATTTGGGATTCCATGAAGAAAAAGTATCGAGGGACAACAAAGGCGAAGAGGCAGCAGCTTCAAGCATTTCGTTCGGAATTTGAAATGCTTCGAATGAAATTAGGAGAGTCGGTGACAGATTATTTTGCAAGAACGATGGCAATAGTCAACAAGATGCGGATCTATGGCGACAAGGCAGAGGATGTCACCATTGTTGAGAAGATTCTTCGATCCATGACACCAAAATTTAATTTTGTTGTCTCTTCTATAGAAGAATCTAGTGATGTTGATGAACTTTCAATTGATGAATTGCAAAGCTCTTTGTTGGTTCATGAGCAAAAAATTAACCAACAAGAGAAAGAGGAACATGCATTGAAGGCCTCATCTAAAAGTCACTCTACACCAAGTAGAGTTGATAGAGGACGAGGAAGAGGTAGAGGTTGCGGTAGAGGAGGCAGAGACAACAATGATCGTGGAAATCAACAACAAAGCCATCACCAAGAGAATCAATTTCAAGGAAGAGGAAGAGGACGTGGAGGCCATCAATCAACTAGACCAAAGTCAGCAGACAAGTCCAATGTTGAATGCTACAGATGTCATAGGTATGGCCATTATCAGTCGGATTGTCAAACTAATTTGAATAGACAAAGTGGAGAAAGAACTAACTTTGCAGAAAAGGAAGAAGAGGTGTCTCTTTTGATGGTGTGTCACGTGAAAGAGGAAACCCACAAGAATCTGTGGTACTTAGACACTGGTTGCAGCAACCATATGTGTGGAGAGAAGTCTGCATTCTCTGAGTTGGACGAAGCCTTTCGTGATGTTGTGAAGTTTGGTGATGATTCTAAAGTCTCTGTTATGGGAAAAGGAAAGGTAGCAATTCAAACCAACAAAAATTCTATTCAAACTATCTCTAATGTTCTCTTTGTTCCAGATTTTAGAACAAATTTACTCAGTGTTGGTCAACTTCAAGAAAAGGGATATGGAATCTCTATCAAAAACGGAGTCTGCAGAATTGTAGATGAAAAATTGGGCTTGGTGGCTCAAGTAAACATGACAGCCAACCGAATGTTTCCATTGTATCTCAACAACACCACTCACTCATGCTTCTCAGCAAAATTGAGGGATCCAGCATGGCTATGGCATTTTCGCTATGGCCACCTAAACTTTGGTGGACTGAAGACGCTACAGCAGAAAGATATGGTGATTGGTCTTCCTCAAATCACAGCTCCCTCTGAAGTTTGTGAAGAATGTGTTGTTAGCAAACAACACCGTAATTAGTTTTCACAAGGGAAATCATGGAGAGCGAAGAAGGCGTTGGAGCTTGTTCATTCCGACATTTGCGGGCCAACAACTCCATGTTCTAATGGAGGTCCAAAAAAAAAAATAATTACCTTCATTGATGATTATAGCAGGAAGACATGGGTCTATTTGTTGCAGGAAAAATCTAAAGCTTTTGCAGCCTTTAAAAGCTTCAAAGCTCCAGTTGAGAAAGAGGTTGGACAGCTCATAAAAGTTCTTCGCACGGATCATGGTGGAGAATATAACTCACATGAATTTGCAAATTTCTGTGAGACCCATGGAATCAAGAGGCAACTTACTGCAGCTTATACGCCCCAGCAAAATGGCGTTTGTGAGAGAAAAAATCACACTACTATGAATATGGTGCGAAGCCTTTTGTTAAGAAGTGGAGTTCCAAAAAGCTTTTGGCCTGAAGCAGTAATTTGGAGTATTCATATTTTGCACAGAAGTCCCACTCTTGCTGTTCAAAATATGACACTGGAGGAAGCATGGAGCAGACGAAGACCAGCGGTGGGTCACTTCAGAATTTTTGGGTGTGTTGCATATGCCCATATTCCAAACAAGAAGAGGAGAAAGCTAGATGATAAGGGAGAAAAATGCATTTTTCTTGGTGTTAGTGATCAATCAAAAGCTTATAAGCTATACAATCCTAGCACCAAGAAAATCATTATCAGTCGAGATGTCGTTTTTGATGAAGAGAAGTTCTGGCCATGGAACAATGATGGTGTTCAACAACAGATTCCTGCTATTTTTGATGGAGAGAATGAAAATGGAAGGCAGCAGCTGGTGGAGAATGAACAGCAGCCAATTCCAGTAGCTACCGAAGAAGAGGAACGACCTCAATGTGCCAGAAGAAGACCAGCATGGATGTCGGACTATGAGGTAACCGGAATTGATCAATCTGAAGACGCACTCACTCACTTTGCTCTATTTTTAGACTGTAATCCTACAGTTTTCGAAAATGCTGTCAAAGAATCAAAATGGCGGAAGGCTACGGATGAAGAAATTGCAGCCATAAGGAAAAATGATACATGGGAGTTATCTGATCTTCCAGAAGGGCACAAAACAATTGGTGTAAAGTGGGTTTACAAGACAAAGCTGAAGGAGAATGGTGAAGTTGATAAGTACAAAGCCCGCTTGGTGGCTAAGGGCTACAAGCAAGAGTTTGGTGTTGATTACAAAGAAGTCTTTGCTCTGGTTGCAAGGCATGACACAATCAGATTGGTAATTGCATTGACAGCTCAAAACTCATGGCCTATTTTCCAATTGGACGTGAAATTAGCATTCCTCCATGGAGATTTGAAAGAAGAGGTATTCATTGATCAAAATCCTGGTTTTGTGAAACTTGGCAATGAACATAAAGTGTATAGGTTAAAAAAGGCTCTATATGGATTAAAACAAGCTCCACGAGCTTGGTATAATCGCATAGAGACTTATTTTTTGAAGGAAGGATTTCAAAAATGTCCTTATGAACATACACTTTTTATAAAAAGTGAAGAAGGAGGGAACATGCTTATTGTTTGCTTATATGTAGATGATTTAATCTACACTGGAAATAATACAGCCATGTTTGAAAGTTTTAAGAAATCCATGATGGTTGAATTTGAGATGTCCGATCTTGGCATGATGCATTATTATCTTGGCATTGAAGTAGTGCAGTCGTCTACGGGAATTTTTATTTCTCAAAAGAAGTACGTGGGAGAAATCTTGGACATGTTCCAAATGAAGGATTGTAATCCTGTGACTACACCATCTGAGTTTGGCTTAAAGCTAAACAAAGATAATGGAGGAACGAAGGTCGACAACACTCTTTACAAGCAGATTGTGGGGAGTTTAATGTATTTGACTGCAACAAGGCCTGATATAATGCATGCTGGAAGTGTCATTAGTAGGTACATGGAGTGTCCTACAGAGATTCATCTCTTGGCTGCAAAAAGAATTTTCCGGTACTTGCAAGGTACTAAGGAGTTTGCGCTATTCTACAAGAAGGGAGAAAAATCAGATTTGTATGGCTTCACAGATAGTGATTACACAGGAGATTCAGATGATCGGAAAAGCACATCGGGGTATGTATTCATGTTGGGGACAGGAGCAGTTTCATGGTCATCAAGGAAGCAATCAATCGTCACTTTATCAACTACAGAAGCTGAATTTGTTGCTGCAGCAGCTTGTGCTTGTCAAGCTATTTGGCTAAAGAAGATTCTCAAAGAGCTACAGTTCAAGGAAGATGAGCCTACTCTAATTTATTGTGACAACACTTCAACAATAAAGCTGTCAAGAAATCCTGTTCTGCATGGCCGAAGCAAACATATAGATGTGAAGTATCATTTCTTGAGGGATCTCACGAATGATGGAGCCATTGATCTAATTTACTGCAGAAGTGAAGACCAAGTTGCTGATATTTTAACAAAGTCTCACAAGTTTCCTGCGTTTCAGAAGCTAAGAAAAATGGTTGGTGTTTGCACTTCGGATACCTTCAGTAAACTGAATGTTGAAACATCAGATTAAGGGAGGGATTGTTAGAAAAGTCAAGGAATTGTCCTAGTCTTTAGGAAGTTTGTTTACTGCTGTTCCTAGTTAGTTGTTGTACATGGCCTACTTTGTCTTAGTTTTAGGAGTAAGTTTAGCCTGTTATGCAGTCACTGCAGTTCCTAATTTCATGCTTTAGTAGTTCCTGTTTTCTTGCTACTATCAGTTTGTTTACTTGCCTATATAATGGCTGTTTGGTTTATCAATAAAGAGAGCAGATTAATATACTCTTTCCCAGCTCTTATTGTGTGTAAAAGCCTTTCTCTTCTTCATTTTGTAACAATTATATCCTTAGTTCATTACTTTCAGACAAGCAAACATAACTTTGGCAGCTAGAATTAGTATTTGACCTTTCAGTTATTCTATGATATAGGTACAACTCTCACCATAGTTCTTCACAATATTCAAGAAGCTTATCAGTTTTTTTCCAACACTTAGCTGACAGTTATATGTAGCTTCACATCCAAAATTAATTATCCATCTTATGACAAGAAAGCAGTTGACAAAATATGTACTAGTACCTCTAGCATTTAGTGAAGTTTTATTGAATATCTTCATGCATTTTCCATTGTTCTCCTTGTGTGATGTATGAGATAACTACTAGTTACATCTAATTTGGAATTGGGTTATATTTGACACTATCATACAACCCATTTTTTTAGATTAAGGTTCTAAAAGATGCAACAATCACAGCGTCAAGATCTAAAAGTATAGGTATACTCTAAGCTTTGAACATATTTACAACAAGAATAACTCACACATGAAAGTTCATTGAATGCATTTAGAATATAGCAACTCAGTAAGAGTCACAGACTTGTGATTACTCTAGAATCACAGGTGCTTCACATTGCAAACATTCTTGTGAAGTATTTCGTCTTACAATATATGCACAACAAGAAGTTAAAAACATTATAGCCCCTGCAAATGCAATATCAGCATATCTTTTACTGAATAATGTTTGGTTTTTCAAAATAATCACCTCAGAGATTGCAATGCCTCTTAAATATATGGAATAGCTATTGCAAAATATAAAGAACATTTATTACCCTTTCATTTTTGCATTCTTCAGCACTTTGTAGGAGCATGTTCACATACTTATCAACCTTTTTTGAAACTTGGTCTTTCATTGCACTCATGTTTGTTCCCCAAAAAGAAACAGGGGATGCTTGCATTTGGTGACCCACTACACCAAAAACAAAATAAGAAGAACAACTTTAACCATAAAGATGAGCAAGAAAACCGGGTTTACTATTTTTTTAACCGTTCTCATGGTGGTTTATACCAACTTTTGGTAGTACATTCACCTGCACCCTTCTATTTCCAGCTTTTGGTTGTACTTAATACATTGATAGTCACACAAATTTTGAGTCTCCCAAAATTCATATCATAGTCATGATATTAGGTGATAGTAGAAAGTATTAAGACTCACCAAAAATTCTTAGATCCCATGAAAGGATGAAAACTCAATCTAGTCATTACAGTTTTGGGATCTCTTTGGAGCCTTCAACACTCAAACAACTCTACCATATGATATGATTCTTGCGGCGAGATCACAATATCACTTTAAATAGCGAATGATAATATTGTTTCAATGAAATAAATCCATTATCATTTGCACTTTTATGAAAGGGGGTTAATCCGAGACACACAATAAATAGATATTGAATCCATTTTCAAAAAAGAAATATGAAAATGACCCAAACCTCATATATATATTACCTAAACTATACTATAATGGGCAAAAGAAGTAAAAGTTTCACTTCTCACAGGCAATTCACACTTACTGGGGTGTGGGAGCCTATGCAGAATTCCAAGCAGAGTAAGTGTATCACCTCCATGAAGAATGTCACGCCTCAATCGGATATTATCAACAGTGAGTTCAAGCTCTCTTTTATTGCGGTACTTGGTAGCATCACAAACAATAACAACACGACCAGGCATTAAAGGATTATTCGACATTTCTTGAAAAGCCCACAACTGGGTCTGGATAGTGTTGAAAAAGGGTTTAAGATTTTCTAAAATGCTGTCTGTCACACACCCTCTCTAGAACCCATTTCTCTCTCTCTCTCTCTCTCTCTCTCTCTAGAAAACCCACTGTGTGTGTAGCGAGAATGATTCTTGGTATCTGTAATAATATAATGGGGAACAGCGACAATTGCAAAGCGCTGGAAGACAGAAAATGGTTCGTCAAACCCCTCAGTTGCAACGTAAACTCTTTTTGTTTGCATGGTATCCTACTCAGAAAAATGTCAAGACGGCTGGTATCGACTCCAAAAAATACTAAAATAAATCTCAAAATTCGAAAGATCATGAGACGCTAAAACACAACTCTTGCAGCTCTACAACACTACCAGTCCATTTGGTTTGAGTGATTTGGAGAGAAAAACAAAAGTCAGGCCTCGTTTGGGAACAGGCTAATTTAGTAACTTTTAGGCTATTTGGCTAAAAAGGTAGGTAAAAAAACTTGTATGTTTGGGATGACTTTTTGGCTAATTACGAAAAGATGTGCAAAAAGTAGAGAGAAAAGATAATCTTTGACTTTTTGGTATGGGTTGTTGGCTTTTTGACTAATTTAGTAACTTTTTGGCTAATTGGCTAAAATAGCCTCTTGCCAAACGAGGCCTCATTCTTCTTGGTGTTAATCGCTTGTTCGGATTATTAAAGACAGACAAATGAGGATAAATGAATAAAGAGAAATTAACCAAATTAGGCATAGCCTATTTGCCACCATGACTCTCAAGACTTTAATTCCAATGGAGGTCATAGCTAATCCTTTACTTTGGAAGGGGGAGGTTAATTTTCGTTAGTGTTAGTCTAACAATTAATAATTAATTTTCACTCATAAAAAAAAGTAAGAAGAAAATAATTTTTTATATGATACCAACATTGTCCATATAAGTATTAAAAAAGTAAAAATATAAAAGTTATTGTTGTAGTATAGGATTGTTTTGGTGACCTGTTAATGTGAAATTCTACTTACATATAATTTTACCTCTTTATATCTAAATAATTAAAATTCTCAATACATCTTTTATAATACCAAAACTAATAACCAAACCAAACCAAGCCTTAAGTCTCATCAAATGAGGTCGATTACATGAATCCTTCTTCTCCATGCGGTCCTATCAAAAGTCATTTCGTTAGTCAAATTAAATAGATCCATATCTCTATTTACAATATTAACCAACGTTAATCTAGGTCTATCCCGTCTCTCAACACTTCCATCTACTGTTACAGCATAACATCTCTTCACTACTGCCTCTGTTGATCTCCGTTGAATATGACCAAATCATCTCAATCGATTCTCTCTCAACTTACCTTCTATTGGTGATACTCCTACCCATTCCCAAATACACTCATTCTTAATTCTGTCTTGTCTAGTCTTGCCACACATCCACCTTAACATTCTCATCTCAGCCATACTCATCTTATCTACATGTTGTTTCTTAGTTGCCCAACATTCCGTCCCATAAAACATCGCTGGTCTAAAAGTCGTTCTATAGAACTTACCTTTAAGTCTAGTGGGTATTCGTCTATCACACAGTACCTCAGACATACTTCTCCACTTACACCATCCTACCTTAATCCTGTGAGCCACATCCGAATCAATCTCCCCCGCTATTGTGATAATCGACCCTAAATAACAAAAATGTTCACTATTAGACAGTTCTTGGTTCTCAATCTTCACTTCTCCTCTCCTTTCATTGTTACTGTTACTAAATTTACACTCCATGTACTCTGTCTTAGTTCTACTTATCTAAAATCCTTTAGATTCAAGAGTTTTTCTCCAAATCTCCAACTTTGTATTAATTCTTTCTCTAGTCTCATCCACTAGCACTATATCGTCTGCAGAAAACATGCACCATGGCACGTCATCTTGGATATTTCTCGTCAACTCATCTATAACTAAAGCAAAAAGATAAGGACTTAAGGTAGATCCTTGGTGTGACCCTACAGTGATAGGAAATTAATTTGTTTCTCCAACAGGCGATCTAATAGTGGTCACCACCCCTTCATACATGTCCCTAATCATATCAATGTAACCTTTTGTCACCCCTTTCTTCGCTAACACCCACTATATTATATCCCAGGGCACTCTATCATATGTTTTCTCAAAGTTGATAAACACCATATGAATGTCTCTTTTCTTTTCTCTATATTTTTCTATAACTCTCCTCAAAAGATATATCGCTTCCATTGTTGACCTGCCAAGCATAAACCTAAATTGATTCTCTGATACCTCTGTTATATATCACAATCAGCGTTCTATCACCATCTCCCACACTTTCATTATATGACACATTAGCTTGATTCCTCTATAGTTGTTACAATTCTGGGCATCTCCTTTATTCTTATAGATTGGCACTAAAATACTCTTCCTCCACTCATCTGGCATGTTCCTAGTCAACAAAATTTTGCTAAACAACCTAGTCAACCAAGCAACCCTTTTTTTACCCAAACACTTCCAAGCTTCAACAGGGATGTCATCTGGTCCTAAAGCCTTATTTGATTCCATCTTCTTAAGTGCAATCTCCACTTCAGAGTTCCTAATCCTACGATAGAACCTATAGTCTTGGTTTATCGTATGACTGGCTATTTCTTCCTCTATTGTCGTACCTCCATATTCTTTGTTTAATAGTTTCTCAAAATAGTTCTTCTATTTTTCCTTAATCTCTTCATCCCTCACCAATACCTTAGCATCCTCACTCTTGATGCACTTAACTTGATTAAAATCTCTTGTTTTCCTTTCCCGTATCTTAACAAGTTTGTAGACCCTCTTCTCTCCCTCACTATCTAGTCTAGTGTATAGGTCATCATAAACTTTCAATTTAGCCTCTCTCATTACTTTCTTAACCTCCTTATTAGCCAATCTATAGCTCTTACGGTTTTCCTCAGTTCTATCATTTTGTCACTTTTTAAAGCACTTTTTTTTTTTGCCTTAACTATCGCTTGAACCTCTTCCCTCTACCACCAAGTTTCCTTAGAGCTGGGTCCCGTTCCTTTCGACTCTCCAAGTACTTCCCAAGAGATTCTCCTCATACAATTGGTCATCGAGTTTCACATAGTGTTATCATCATCTTCCAAATCTCAAGTACCTTCCTTATCCATTCTATTCTTAAATATTTCTAATTTATTCCCTTTTAAGTCTCACCATCTCGTCCTACGACGCCTACCATCCTTCCTAGTTTGGTATTGCCCTCTAAAACATAAATCTAGTACCAAAATCCTATATTATGAGGCTAGGCTCTCTCCAGGAATCACCTTACAATCATTGCATTTTAGGCGATCCACTTTTCTTACTAAGAAGTAATCTATTTGGCTCTCAACTAATCCACTCTTAAAGGTTTTCAAAAGCTCCTCCCTCCTCTTCTACATAGTATTGGCCACCACCAGGTCAGAAGCCAACATAAAATCTAAGATACTCTCTCCAGCCTCATTTCTGTCACCAAAACCGTATCCACCATGCATTCTTTCATAGCCTAGTTTATCTATGCCTGCATGGCCATTAAAATCTCCATCTATAACCAGGTTCTCTCCTACGGGTATCTCTTGTAAGATCTCATCCATTTACTCCCCAAAATCCCCCTTAGTCTGATCATTTAATCCTACTTGAGGGGTATATGCACTAATAACGTTCACTATATTCCCTCTAATAACTAGTTTAACTAACAAAATCCTATCCCCTTTCCTAATGACCGCCACTACATTCTCCATAAGACCCTTGGCAATTAAGATTCCTACACCATTCCTGGGTCTATCCTTGTCAATATAATACAGTTTAAAACCGGTATCCTCAATTTCCCTAGCTTTCTCACCCATCCACTTAGTTTCTTGTATGCAAGCTATACTAACTCTCCTCCTAATCATAACATCTACCAACTCCATTGTCTTACCAGTTAAGGTTCCTATATTCCAAGTGGCTACCTTAAACCTATAGTCTTGGACTAGCTTCTTTATCCACGCTCGTCTGGAAAAACGCGGGAGCCTTTGCCCATTTTTCACTGCAACCAAGCATCGATGCGACGCCCCTTGCTCACTTTTAGAAACACCCAGAGGCAGGAGCAACGCATAACTTGAGGGCAATGACCAAGCATTTAAAAATCCTTATACATTTTTTTTCATTACATCTATTCTTTTTTAATTACTCCGGTGTTTTGTTACCGAACAAACTATATTTTGTAAGATTATATGGTCTACATACGAGAAATCAAAACATTATAAACATAATTAACTACTAAAATATAAACTTAGATACATACAGTTTAATTCTGCCACTGTCTTGAGTTTTGCTTTCTTCAAAGAAGATGGTATTCACAATCAAAAAACCTTAGCACTAGCTATTCCCTTCCTTCTCCTAATCTTTATGTTGTCTTTTCAATGGGACTGACGACCCTTTGATCCACATATATATAAATATATGTAAAACCCAATAGAATAGGAAAGGGGACTGGGCCTAAATAAAATAATTATTGAGCCCTCCCATTAAGGAACCCAAATAACTTAAAACAAGCTTTACACTTCCATATCACATATCTACATATAAACTAATAAACACACTAAGATGAACCATGACCCAAAACTTTATAGATCACAATAATAATTTTGGGCTCATACCAGTCAATCTGTCTGAATCACTTTCAACCCGTTTTTCACAAACCAAACAAAACATAGTCAATGGCAGCCTAATTAAAAACAAATTCCTACATATTTGTCCAGTCATTTGTTGCTGCACATTTACAGATTCATTTCCTTTAAAACATCATTTTTTTTTTCTAAATTTATGATGGGCCTATTTGATTATATATTGCCAAACAATTTGGATTATTCCAATATCATATTACCCAACAAACTAGCTTTGTCCAGCCATATGTTGCCGCATGTTTACAAATTCATTTTCCTTAAAATATCAAATATTCATAAAAACATGAAGTGTACAAACATCTATAAAAATATTCATAAAATTTATCAATACAAATATTTTCAAATTTATCAATACAAACATCTATAAAAATACACTGAGATGTTATCACAATCTATCTATTATAGT